AAATAGAGCGTAGAAGTCTATGAAAGCAAGACGGAGTATCTAAAGCAACGCCAGCATCGTAGTAAAAGCGACATCTCTTTACTAATACGACGGCAAAACTTTATTGGCCTAAAAATACATATGTATATAAAACGGTCATTACGACATAACGTAGATCTGATTGTGAAATTACTTTAAATTTTATTTTTTATTAGACATGAAAATATTTATTAAATATTATCGGATTTATTGATCATGGATATTTCTATTTGATATCAAGTCATTTTAGGAATCGATCATTGTAAAAAACCAGATGCTATGAATAATAAGATAACAGTAGGATACGGTACAGACGACAAGAAAATTAATCATTCATAAAGACAGAACACATTTAATGACATAGATAAAATGAAGACACAGAGGATTGTTGGAAAAATAATTTTGGTTCTTCTTTCTTTATATACCCAATGCACATTCACATGTAATTCGTTCACTTTTCTATACATAAATAACGATATCCTCCAACGTCATGATTGTTTGCTGATCATGTATTCTTCTAGGAATTCCACAGAAGAGAATATTATGAGCGTAAAGAGAAGTGCCAACGAATAATAATCGTCACGTATCGCAGATGCTTTCTAGTGCGAAACACCATATTTTACCAGAGTTTTATGATATAGTTCGAGAAGTCTTGATTCGAGTGACCGACCTTTTTCATAGCCAAGCACACGTACCTAGAAGAAAGACAACAACGATTAATCCATTCGCTCGACAACAAGTCTGCCAATGAAATAATACAAATCGATGAGAATGGTCATGCCGTACGAAAACATTATTAAGCCAAACGTCACCATGTGATAATGTATAATTTTCATCTGACAGTGCTCGAAAAAGATGTGGAATATGTGTAACAAGTCTTTTGGTAAAAGCATACGCTTTCTGTGATGCCCTCGATTCTGGCAATTGTACGAAGCCTTTATCAGCCATCTTTTCTGTATATTTAGTATGGTAGCGCGTGATTGTTAAATTCAACGAAAGCAGCGAGGCGAACATTTCCTGTTGTAGCAATCGATGATTGAAAAATTCAGCATCTAATGTTGCAATTGAATCGATGAAACGAAACAATGTAGATTCTACTACCGACTCTTTCGATGCTAATGGATCATAGTTCACGGGAAAGATCTTCGAGAATTAGCAGACTATCGTTTAACAAATGAGCATGACGACCAATATAGTAGCATTTGGTAATGTCGATATTAGATATTTGCGATTCTATCTTTGCAGGGTTGGGTGTGGGATGTGGGTGTGAGATGTGAGTGTGGTGTGGGTGTGTCCTTTTATAACCAGCACCCACACCCACCAAGAAAATGAGAAGCGATAATGTCCAAAACGAAATATTTATCCTTGCTATCTTAATAAATAAAATAAAATATTGTATTAATCGAGAACAACATCAATATTTATCTTCGTTCTGAAGTCGTCCTGCTATTAGAAAAACGTTTTTGATTTCTCCTATTTATACATAACAACTATGATGAAAATAGTATCTATTGGTTCAATTTTCATAATTAGCTTAGATAGATACACACCAGAAATAAATTGAAACAAAGTATATATATATAACTATATATATGTATACGAACGGTGGACGTATGTATACACTTCTTTGCATTTTGATGTACAACATTGTCTATGAAATGATGTACGATTCAAATGAGAAAAAAAAATAGAGGGAAAGATTCTATTATGTTATATCGTATTATCTATTCAATTATCATATTTGTAAAAGAGGCACAGAATAAACTCTACTTAGAAGACTCTGGTATAAAAATTATCGATCATTCGGTTTTGAAGGTCTTACCTCCTCCGATTTTCAAACATTATAATAGCATTTCAATTTGTTCGGATTAGATGAAGACAAAAAGTACAAAAAAAATTAATAAAATATTTCGAAGGTCTAACAAAAAAAAGAATGAAAAACAATGACGATGAAAAATATTCGATTGTAATGCATTGAAGTATGTTTTAAAATGCGCTGCCATTGAAAGAAAAGCATCATCATTTAACTATGAGAATGGAACAATCTGTTTTAGAACATATTTCATTTTACTCATATATTAATAAAAAAAAATTTAGTTTAATAATACAAATGAAATAATGTATCTGTGGAATATCCATTTTCTCATTGGAGCCATACTAGTTTCCATCTTTACCGACTTAACTGAGGCTAATGAAAAAATTTGGTCTCATGGAATGGGCAATGCCTACAATACTCATCGAAGAATACTAACTATACCAACTGAATATGATGGAAAATCATGGGAACTTGTTTTCAATCTTTCAAAATCAATAAAATCTATTCCAAACATGGCAATAGGTAGTAATGGTGATATTTATTTCTTTACCGGTAATGATCCAATTAAATCACGTTAGTATAAATAAATTCTATTCTTTTTGAAAGCTAAAACAGCAAGATTTGTTGATTTGTTTAGCTGAATATTTGGTATGTGTAACAATAAATGGGTTAATACGTTGGAAATTATATCTTGAACGAGACGACGGAATGACCATTGATGGTGTTACAAATATTGTTTCGAATATAAATGGAACATTATTTTATGGAATATCATGGTTTAAAGATGAAAATTATTTAAATAAAATTTGTCGTTTATCAAATCCGGAAACAGATAATCCAATTGAAAAATGTGCTTCTAATACATATTTTTTTCAAACATTTCAAGGTCCGTTATCCATCGATGATTCATCAGAACTTTTAATAGTTACACTTTATGGAGAATCAGTTGGCTTTATTAATACAACTAGTTTACAAATTGAATATCAGAGTCCATTCGATATTGGAGCTTCAACCGGTTCTCATTACAATACTGATCAAACTGGAATTTATTGGATTGGAGTTGACGATCATTTACGAAAAGTAAATATTCATGGTGAAACATTATTAAATGTTAAGGTTAATAGTGGTGAAAATCAAAAGTATGCTTTTAATAAACAACAAAATATAATTGTCGGAGTTTCGCAAAATTTCACCACAACTCCGGCTCCATTTATTGTTTCTGCGTGGAATGTTGATTCAAATCTTAATTTGACTTTACTTTGGCAATGGAATCAATCAGTTGAAATTGCAACTTCATCAACACATCCAGTTGTTGATGATAAAACAAATATAACATATGTTAGTATTCTTCCATATATTTCTGCAATTGATTCTCGTGGAAATACTTTATGGAAAACTGAAATAACTTCTCTAGATGAAATATATAAATACAGTCTTGTTACATCTTGTCTTACATTGAATACAGAAACAAGTATTGCTTATGTTCTTATTTCAACATATGATGATTCTAATCAACAAACTCCAAAAGTTCTCTTTATTGTTCCAGTAAAAACAACTACTGGTGCTGTTTTACCGCGAATCAATATTGAAGTTCATCCAGATTTACTGACTTATGTTCAATGTCCAATGCTTGTAGAAACTCAAATGCTCTATCTTCCTTGGTACTATGCAAGTAACACCGATATTTTACCATTAAATATTATTGGGATTCCACAAATTACTTCTTCATAATACAAATTTTAACCAAATACATTCACTGAGGTTCATTATTTAAAAAAAAAACATTCAATAAAATATAAATAGATTTTCTTTAGCGCTGAAAATAATTCCAACAGAAGAGCAAGGACGAGGACAATCTGTCATGATCAGCTTCGTCCATGATAAGGGACTCACCTAAGGGGGAACATCTGAGATCAGACTTTTCTGATAATTTTGATTAAAATAATTTTGATCTTAAATTAGAAAAAAATCAGAAAAATAAAAAAACCACAGAAATCAAGAAAATCTGATTTAAGATGTGTCACTCTAGATTGATATTTTGAACAACATAGATGGGCGTGGGTGTGGATGTGGATCTTCAGTTCATCTACACCCACACCACCTAGAATGAAGCTCTGATAAATTTTATAAACGGTATAGTTTTCTCTACTTCTCTTTACTATGGAAAATATTCATTATTTCACAATGAACAAACTAACGTACTGACTATACGAAACTTTTTAAAAGATCTATTTCAAACAAGCTCTTTGGGGCTGTTGACAAAAGTGTCTACTATATGAAGTTGACAATTCTGTGGAAATTACATGACCATATTACTGCTTTAAAGGATTTTGATGCTTACGATCCTAAGATATTGGAGACTCGGAGAAGTCTTAATACCAGTCTCTATTCATGTATATATATAAAGTATAGTAATAAAAGAATTAAACGAAAAGTTAAAACCAGACATCGACTTGAAATACTCTATTGCCAATTATGAAAGTATGAAACTAGAGCAAACTATTGACTAGACATGTGTTAGATCACCAGCTCATGAGCTGCTAAGCTGTTGAATACCAATCTTGAACGACATTTCTCTCATTGGTAATCATCAAAATCTAGAGTATTTTATTATCAGGAGATTCTTTGTTGAGTACAGTACGCAATGGAATGCATTATTTTACATTAAGTAATACAGCTAACAGATTGGTGGCATTTCATGAGCTATATCATCTCGTGAGTGGTCATAGATCATCTCATGATCTGCCATACATCTACTATTGACATTTATATCTCATAGAGGACTCAAATGCATTGTATCCTTACAGATTGATCGTTTTTTGCATTCTGATTTGTTTGTGAAAATAAATTTACTTTGATGTTCTTTCTTTCTTATAGCATTTCTCAAGACGTTCCATAAATAGAACTGCGGGTCTCTCCAGATCCGGACCCGAATCCATAAAAACGTGGGTTCGCGGCTCTCTACCTGCTGTCAAATTTTTCAAAGAAATTTTCTATCAATAGTGTTATCTACTTACGAAATATTCATTGTCCATAATTCAATAAATAGATTTTCAAGAAGTGTACCAATTGTTGAGTTCTGGAGAAACCGACTAGGGAAATGAAAATTAAGACGAGTAAAAGTTGAATAAAAATGTGTGTCAACTGCTCGATCAAGTTGAACAAGACAATTGCTATCATCATAAAAACACTCGAGCGTCCATACGTATAATGATAAAATAGACGAGCATCCCATGAACAAGCCAGATACAGCGTAGCTAAGACTATTAAGAGTGGTATTGGCATAGACACCCACTTGCATTCCGCACGATGTCTCATTCAGGCAGAAACACAATCCTGTTCCATTGTTGATTGAATGGGATATGCGTGGTGTTAATTTCGGATAAAGTATACTGCTCAGATTTGTCGAATTATTAGTTCATTGAACATTAAAGTTACTGGTCTGTCCTGACAGGTACTGATTCGCTTGTGTTATGTTTGAGACTAAATGTATCAAACCGAGAAAATCGTTGATTGTCAATTGTTTGAAGAATTCAGCGGATGAATTCATTTGATTTTCGAATGCTTGGCGACTGAGAAAATCAGCTGTGACTAGTTAAGAATCACCAAAGGCAACAAGAGCATTAGAAACAGTGCTGGTCGCTAGTATACATAATGACTGCATAACTTCAAAAATTGGACAATAGCAAAGAAAATCCGTAAAGAATATAAACCCGAGGTTATATTATTACAAATTTCTTCCATGCCGTTGATCCATGGAGCTGAAATGAAATCACTTGAACATATTTGATGATAGTTTGGCGTGAGATTAATGAAATGTTTATAAGTCGATGAAATTTGTGAACATGGCCATTGTAAAGAAGAAAGAATAAATGAATTCATTTGCCACTTTTCAATACTTGCAAGTAATGGACTGTTGACAACAACGGTTCTTGTTTGTTGATGCATTCCACTGTATGCAGTAAGAATGAATACGGCAATGCACAGAGATATAATGAACAAACGAGTTGACCAACGTTGTTGTTTTAAATCTCGTGGTTGTATATGTTTGACTGTTTTAAAGAGATTGAGTTCAAAAACGAAAGTATTAATTGTGGATAATGTTCGCTGTTGTGATCGTGATGCTCAATTTCACTTATCATAGAGCAAAATGCGCAATTAAAAAGTGAACGGCATCAGAGCTAGCCGGGAAGCAGCTAAAAAATTGATCCACCACTACTCCAACTTCTCAAAAAGATTGTTAAAGACTAATTTTTCGAAAAATTTTCGAGAGTACGCAACAAATACAAATTGTCATCAATCATTGGAGACGTGTTACATTATCGTCTACCTTAGATAGTATCAGATATAGCTAAATGCATCTGGAACAGTTTAAAATCTACGAAATTAATGAAATTCATTCACAGTTATGGATTTAGCTGTTTCGAATAGAAAAACAAAAGTTTTCTCAGATGGTGGGAAAGCCGCCAAATTTAGCACTGTCTTGTCACTGCCCTTTGCCTCGTTCATTTTTGAGTTGTATGTTATTAGGTTTTGTATTCTTGTTTTCGGAGCGCAAATGGTTTGCGCAATGTTTTGGTTGATACTGTGTACGTGTTTTGATATACTTTCAAGATTTTACGGCTCTTTTATTTAGTATATTTTAATCATCAAATAAGATTTTAGAAAAACTATAAAGAATAGAGGCTGTTTAATATTAGATGAGTTTCAGCCATGGATATACAAACTGGATCTTTCTGTTTCCAGTAGTTTCGATTCTTCTCTAAAATAAATGTGGAAACATCGGATGTAAATCGCAGTGTTATGTGTACTTCGAGAAGTAAACATAATTGACGACAGGTTGATTTTGATCAAACTGTCTAAAAACGAGTCATGTTAGCATGTCTAAACATAAAACTTATCCCACGAAGTCGTTTTTCCTAAAACTCAATTTCTATTGGTTACCGGTCAACCAATAGGATTCTGAGGCAAGTGGAGCTGAGATTCAAGTTCTCCGTCCCAAAAAAACCTTTGTTCACGTATGATAAAACCTCGAAGTATCGCTTCTCTGATCGGAAAATGGGGCTTCAATTTTCGACGAATCAGAGCATGAACAAACGCAGAAGCAATTTCCGTTTAAAAATCTTTGCAATCGATGACTTAGCCTTTTTGTTTCTTAATGTTTTATATACCATTTTGTAGCCCGTGAAATTCTCTATCGAATGGTATATAATAGTTGAGGTTTTTGTTTTGATTATGAGAGAAAAGGGTTTTACAAAAACCGGGTAGGTCAATGTTCGCATAGAAAACCATAGGAAAAAGATAATTTTTTCGCAATAACTCTGCGATTTCTTCACCAATCATTCTCATCTTCGAATTTGAGGCAGATATTGATGAGACGATTCTGTGCAGAAAGTTTCATGACAATCGGTTCGTATTCTCAAGAATTATCGTGTAAACAGCCGGCCGGCCCACCGGACACACTGACCGATGCTAGAGTGTACTCACTTTTTGAGTACACAAAACGATCCTGAATCCGATTTACCATGCTTCTTTAAAATGATATTCATAAAATAGTATCAGACACAGCTCTTCCTATGTACAGATGTTTTGAAAATAATTTTCTCATCTTCGTTAAAATTTTGGAATAATAAATTGTTAAAAAGTAAAAAATTAAGATCAATCTTTTTGTGCAAAAGATCGAATGTAGTTATCAAATTCTTAGGTTCACTGTTTTATTTCATACGATGAATTGGAAGTACAAATAGTAATAGTATCAAACTTAATAACAAATTGTTACGGCACACATCATATGTCATAAGATATGTGTCACGAGTCCTAATATTTACCTAGTCATTACATTTATGATTGAAAAAATATCTCGTCTACCTTAGCATTCTCAGTCAATAATACAATTTCGATGGCGTTCATTAAGGTCTATGAGGACTGTTAAAGTCTTAAGGCACCGAGAGAGTGAGCCATACATAGTCGTCACCGAATACTTTTATGCTCGCATCGGTAGAATTGTTACTCCGATCATGACAATAGTAAATGAAGAAAAAGAACTCATCTACGACTTCGACTATTATCATCAATAAGATCTATGAAACCAATCAAGGTATCGCTCGACTATAAGCGCACGATTCTATATATTCGCCAGTTTGACAATCTGTTACATCCCAAATCTGGAACCGGTGCTACTGATTCAGCGTACCAACTAGTGAATAATGAACCGATGACACAAGTACTACGACGAACTGGTGGACGGTTCACCACACCTTTGCGGTTTTGCAGTTATGACAAATCCTATGTACGCTGATGAAAATTTTAGTACTTTATTCAGGAATTCGTTTAATGACATAAGCAAGTGTCGGTGGGTGGGGTGTGGGTGGATTCTTCTTTTCATACCCACCCACGCTCACACCCTATGCACGTATTAGTAGAAGAATGGTTTCTTTTGCTCATTGAATGCGGCTTGCTTGAGAGGAAGAACAAAAGAAAATTGATTAAACATCCTTTTCAGCCTATTTGATCGAAAAACGTTGAACACGATTATTGTAGTGATCGGCGACATAGAGATTGCCATCTGGATCGAAGGACAAATCCATGGGCCAGTTGAACTGATTTGCTCCTTCTCCTTTTTGATTTACACCTGCAATAACAGTTCCCCTTTGTTCTTCATTAGACCAACGCATCACTCGATGATTGTACGCGTCTGCTACGTAGAGTGTACCCACAGTATCGACGAACAGTCCTTGAGGGTGCCAGAGTTGTGTGGAAGCCTTTCCTTTGCCTTGACTACCAGCGACGACAATGCCTTCTTTTGCACCTTTATTCCATTTCACCACACGATGATTCCTGGTGTCTGACACATAGACAGTTTGTTGCTGATCGACAAACAAGTATCTCGGTTTGTTGAGTTGATTGAGAGCAGCACCTCGGCCATGACCACCAGCGACGAGAGTTCCTTTCTGATCTCCTATTTGATATCGTCTTACTTCATGTTCTTCTTCGTTACAGATATAAAGATATTTCTGATCATCCAAGGTCGCTCCAAAACAACCGATCTCATCGATGAGGATTTCTCCTTGAGTAGTGCTACTACGACGAGACCAACGTACGACTCGTCGATTCCCTCGATCACAAATAATGAGACTATTTGTCTCTTTGTCGATCAACACATCAGTTGGATCATTCAGTTGATCCAATTGATTTCCTGAGCCATTACCACCAGCGATCACTCGCCCATTCGTATCACCCATCTTCCATTGAATGATACGATGATTGTACCTGTCAGCGACGATCACTATTCGATCAACATCAACGGCGAGACCATGAGGCCATGAAAGTTGATCTATGGTATTGCCTTGTCCATGACCTCCAGCGACAGTCACCCCATTCTGTGTCCATTGAGCATTGAGTGGAATATCGAGCGTGACTACAATGAACGAGAAAAAAGAAAATGAATCGTCATTATCGTTGTTGTCTGTGAAGAGAAAAAAGTCTGACGAATGATACATTCTTAGGCTTCCTCTTTGTCGGAGGGAATGATTCCCCTTTTTCCCTCAACATCGTTTAAAATTTTGACAAACAAAAGGAAAAAGATACTTCCCTATATGACAGCGACGAGAGGAAAAAATTTTGTTTTCTTTTTTCATGGAAATGACAATGAACATCTTGGTGATCTCTGCGAGATAGTTTCGTCGTCAATGAAGGAGAAAAAGGATCTAAGAGAATCCATGCGCTTTTAAAAAGCATTTCAATCAGAGTCCTGTTTCGGTCTCAAAACAGTCAAACAGGATGGGATTC